GAGTGCAGAGCCAGGGGCAGCACAGAGCTGGGAGTGAGGAGAGGCAGCAAGAGGTCATGAAAAGCCTGGGCCCTGGGTTGGAAGCCTAGCTTTTTTACTTTATAGCTATGTGACCTTGAGCAAGTTTATATCACCTCTCTGAGCCTCAATGTCTTCATCGATAAAATGAGGCTAATGGTACCTGCCTCAACACGTTTCAAGGATTCAATGAACTAAGTAGTGCCTTTGCCCTAGGAATTAGAGGCCCTACAGCCGCCCAAGAGGAGGGGGCGTAAGGCGCCCTGTGTGGAGGAGGCAGGCAGGCATGGAAAGGCACACCTGAGCTGAGTGGTGAAGGCTCAGCAGGAGATAGCCAGGCTGGGGAAGTGGGACAGAGAATATATGAGGTGGAGGTCAAGTCAGGAGAGCCATCCACGGCCATGGTGAGGAAGTTGAAGGTTATCCCATGGCTGCTGATTTCTGGAACATCCAAGTTAGATTATGTCCCTCCTCTGCTCACCTCAATCAAAGCAAAAGCCAACGTCTTTATTGTAGGCCCATGCACTTTCTAATTTGGCCCCCATAACCTCTCTGATCTTTTATCCTATCTCCTCTCATTCACTCTGCTCTGGCTGCACTGGCCTCTTCACTGTTCCTCGAACATGCCAGACACAGGTCTACCTCCGGGCCTTTGCACTGGCTGTACCCTCTCTCTGGACTGCTACTGCCTTTACCACGCAGCTTACCCTCACTTCCATCAGCACTCTGTTTATATGCCATTGCTCCAGAAAGGCCTCCCCTGACCACCACATCTCAAACAGCACCTTTTCACAATCTGCTTCATTTTCCTTCCTAGCACTTCACCCCTACCTGAAATGGCAGGACATATTTACTTGTTTCTTTCTTTATAGTCTGCTTCCCTCACTACAACGTCACCTCCCTGAGAACATTCTTGTGCATTTTGCTCACTAGTATATTTCCAGTGCCCAGCACTGTGCCTGGCATACAGAAGATGCTCAGTTGTTTGTTGAGTGAGTTACGTGGTGCTGTGGAAGCGTTTTAGTGACAGAATGAAATAGGTTAGTATAGTATTTTGTTGTTGTTGTTTGAGACGGAGTCTTGCTCTATTGTCCCAGGCTGGAGTGCAGTGGTACAATCTCCACTCATTGCAACCTCTGCCTTCCAGGTTCAAGCGATTCTCCTATCTCAGCCTCCCGAGTAGCTGGGATTACAGGTGCACGCCACCACACCCAGCTAATTTTTTTTTTTTTTGTATTTTAGTAGAGATGGGGTTTTACCACGTTGCCCAAGCTGGTCTTGAACTCCTGAGCTCAGGCAATCCATCTGCCTCAGCCCCCCAAAGTGCTGGGATTACAGCGTTAGCCGCTGCTCCCAGCCTTGTTTATGTTTTTTATTTTTCTTTTTTTGAGACAGCATCTCACTCTGTTACCCAGGATGTGGTGCAGTGGCACTACTGAGCCTGGACTCAAGTGATTTTCCTGCCTCAACCTCCCTACTAGCTAGAATCACAGGCACGTGCCACCATGCCTGGCTAATTTTTTATTTCTGTAGAGACAGGATCTCCCTGTGTTGCCTAGGCTGGTCTGGAACTTCTGGGCTCAAGCTATCCTCCTGTCTTGGCCCCCTGAAGTGCTGAGCGTATGGGTCTGAGCCACCATGCCTGGCAGTACTTTTTTTTTCTTTTTTTAAGATCAAATCTTGCTCTGTCACCCAGGCTGGAGTGTAGTGGCACAATCTTGGCTCACTGAAACTTCCACCCCCCTGGGTGCAAGCGATTCTCGTGCCTCAGCCTCACGAGTAGCTGGGACTACAGGGGCCCACCACCATACCTTGCTAATTTTTTGTATTGTTAGTAGAGACGAGGTTCTGCCATGTTGCCCAGGCTGGTCTTCAACTCCTGGTCTTAAATGATCCTTCCACGTCAGCCTCTGGAGTAGCTGGGATTATAGGTGTGAGCCATTGTGCCTAACTAGATTTGTGCTTTTTTATTTTTTTGAGACAGAGTCTCTCACTCTGTCTATCTCCCAGGCTGGAGTGCAGTGGTGGGATGTTGGCTCACTGCAACCTCCGCCTTCTGGGTTCAAGTGATTCTCCTGCCTCAGCCTCCTGAGTAGCTGGGATTACAGGCACGTACCAGCATGCTCAGCTAATTTTTGTATTTTTTGTATTATTTTTGTCTCGAAATCCTGACCTCAGGTGATCCACCCACCTTGGCCTCTCAAAGTGCTGGGATTACAGACATGAGCCACAGTGCCCTGCCTAGATTTTTTTTTTTTTTTTAAAAGACAGAGTCTTGCTCTGTCGCCCAGGCTGGAGTGCAGTGGTATGATCTTGGCTCACTGCAACATCTGCCTGCTGGATTCAAGTGATTTTCCTGCCTCAGCCTCCAAAGTAGCTGGTATTACAGGCACCTGCCACCATGCCCAGCTAAGTTTTGTACCCCTAGTAGAGATGGGTTTCCCCATGTTGTCCAGGTTGGTCTTGAACTCCTGACCTCATGTGATCTGCTCACCTCGGCCACGCAAAGTGCTGGGATAACAGGAGTGAGCCATCGCTCCTGGCCCAGATTTGTACTTTTGAAAGCTCTCACTGGCCACAGGGTGGAGAATGGGTTGGAAGAGGAGATTGGAGGCTGTGATCAAGAGAGAATATTTCTTAGAGCAGCCTCCTGAGCACATTTACTGACTCCCTCCGGACAGCAGCTTTTATTGAGCACCTACTCTGTTCCAGGCTATGTGCTCTATGTTAGCTGGGAGATTATCAAATTCTTTTCCTGAGCTGGGATTCTGGGAGTCATGAACACAAATAGCTGTCACGCTTTGCCAAAGCTAACCTGTGCCATAAAAAGCAGGACAGACATGTGCTGTGTGTGGGAGCTCTGAACAGGATCAGCAATAATTTCTGGCTGGAGGCGGGATTCAGGAGGGCTTCTTAGTGGTGGCATATGACCTGAATCTTGACGGAACTAGGATGTGGGGGAATTTCTCAGATTGCAGATGGCGGAGACGATGGGGATTGCATTTCAAGTGGTAGGTACTGTATGAGCAGTTTTGGAGGTAGAAAGCAGAGAGCATTTGGGAGAAGCAGGATCTGGGCCAGGATGGAATGATGGGTGGATGGAGTGGGGGGCTGGCAGCCAACCCTGCAGCATGGCTTAATGTTTAAGAGTGTGGGCTCTGGAGTCAGACTGCCTGGATTTGAATCCTGGCTCTATCATTAGTAGCTGTGTGACCATAGGTATGTTGCTTAACCTCTCTGGGCCTCAGTTTCTTTATGTGTAAAATGAAGGTAAATAACAGTACCTACCTCATACGGTTGTCTTGAAGAGTAAACAAGTTATTCAGTGTGAAGTGGTAAGAATAGTGCCTAAATGTGCTAAACGATCTGTAAATATTAGCTGTTGTGTCTTGGAGAAGCCTCAAATGCCAGAATAAGGGACTTGGGCTATGTCTTCCGAGCAGTGGAAGTTATAGATGATGGTTCATGCATACAGGAGACAGTTGATCAAAACTGGGCTTGAGCCATGTGCTGGGAGGGGAGGTTTGAGAGATTGGTGGGTGAGATTCTGCAGTCCCGGCAGGGAGGAGAGAAACATCTTAGATGCCGGAGGTGGGCTGCGCTGGGGCTGAACCCTGGAGGGGGGGTAATGTCAGGGGCCACCGCCCTAGGCCCAGGAGGAGAGAATTTGGGGTGGAGGGTGAGCAGTGGGTGGGAGCTCCCCACAGTGCTGCAGTCCGGGACCCGGCCTCGTGGGCGCAGCCTCCACGCCACAGCCAGCCCCCAGTGCAAAGCACTCTGCTGCAAGGCTGCTAGGCCTGTTGCAGCTCAAGCTCCTGCACTGGTAGGCCCCCCCATACCCACCCCAGCCCATCTCTGCCCTTTGCCCTCGCCTCTGCTGAATAGGGGCTGGGGAGTACCCCTTCACCCTTTTACCAGCCAAGAGACTCCAACCTTATGCCCCCCAAAATGAGACCATTCTCTGGGTCCCAGCCACACCCATTCCCCCCACAGCCTCCTCCATGCCTCACCTGCGTGTTCCTTCCCGCCCAAGTCCTTCCCCGTCCTCCCCACTTCAGTGGCTCTTCACTATGCCGGCTCGGCTCAAGGCGCCTGGGCTCTGTCGCCACCTGGGTTCCCTGGCAGCCTGGTTGCCATGGCACCATGGGAGCAGTTCTGGTGGAACAACAGCCCTGGGAAACCAGGGCAGGCAAGACCTGGAGCCCAGCTCCTGCCACGCATGGAGACCCCCCTGCCCCCTCCCCCAAGCTGAGCAGAGGAGGCCATGAGGAGAAAAAGGAAGCTGCCCCGCAGGGCGGCTCTTTACCTGTGAGGATGCTGGATGGGAGGCGCCTCCCACTGTCGCTTCTCACCCTGCCCTAGCAGCCAGGGAACCCTGGGAACTGGCTTGGCCTGGTCCAGAGTTCAGGCACCAGAGGGCAGGGGCCAGGCCGCAGCGGGCAGGGCTGGGTGCAGGGGTGGGCCTCACACTGCTGGGACAGGGCTGGGAGGGGGGTGGCACTTCGAAGGAGGTAGTCTGGGGTAGTGCTGGGAATCAGACTGAGAGGGAAATCCCAGTGCTAAGCTGGGGACAAGGCCAGGAGGGGACAGAGGCTGAGGGGAAGACGTTTGCAGGGAGGGGTGGAGCTGTCAGGGGACAGAAAAAAGGGCGTGAGGAGACCAGATGGGGAGTTAAGTGTTCTAGGGGAGAAGGCTGCGAGGGTTGAGGAGGACTGGGGATCAGACAGAGCCTTGAGGGAAAGGAGTCTGAGAGGATCTCGCTGTGAAGGCAAGGGGGCTGGAAGGGAAGGGACTTGGGCGGGAGTGGGGACAGAGTCCGAGAGCTAGGACTCACTCTGGCCTGTAAGTGTCGGGTCCCCTATCTGTGAGGAAGCTGGGGTGGATGGGATGGGGGCAGGGATCTGGCTCACCCACTCTCAGTCTGGCACAGCAGGCCCCTCTCCTGTCCCCACATCCTGGCTCATCTTATCTCATCCCCACAGTGTGGAGGGTGATGCCCCAGGCAGTGACCTGAGCACAGCGGTTGATAGTCCTGGGAGCCAACCCCCCTACCGGCTGAGCCAGCTGCCCCCCTCCAGCAGCCACATGGGGGGCCCCCCTGCTGGAGTGGGCCTTCCCTGGGCTCAGCGAGCACGCCTGCAGCCAGCCAGTGTCGCCCTGAGAAAGCAGGAGGAGGAGGAGATAAAGCGCTCCAAGGCCCTATCGGACAGCTATGAACTCTCCACAGACCTGCAGGACAAGAAGGTACAGCAGAGGCGCCCTGGTTGGGATTGGGAGTCAGGATACAAGAGAGCACCAGGGGAGGGGTTGGGACACGGCACTTGGGGGTGGTATCAGGGAGGGGTCATGAGGCTGGAATTGGAGAAGACTGGCCCTGGACCTGGGGACACAGTCATTCACCACCTATCCACTGAGGCTTATATTCACTCAACAAACATTTACTGAGCTCCCTGCCTCGGTCTTGGAGGTGTAAAGGTGAATGAGTCCTGGAGCTGGTCCCCAAAAAACTCAGTCTAATGGGAAGCACACTCATTAACTGACCTTTTCAGGAGAGTGCCATACAATAGAGTGTGTAGCTAAAAAAAGGTGGAGGGAAAACAAAATACTACATATAGAAAAAAAGTGGAAGGACATATACAAAAACATGTACCTGACACCAAACGACATATTCTAGTTATGCTTAAGTGTTTGGAATGTAGGTAATTCAACCAACCTGCCTGCCTGCCTGCCTGCCTGCCTTCCTTCCTTCTCTCCTTCCCTCCCTCCCTTTCCTCCTCCCTCCTCTTCTTCCTTCCTTCCCTGCCTTTCTCTCTCCCTCTCCCCTTCTCTTTTCTCATTTTCTCTCTTCCTCCTTCCTTTCCTTCTTCTTGCTCTCCGTTTATTTCTACCTGGCTTTCCTT